AGCTACCTCTTCCTCACTATTATTTTTTTCTTTTGAAGAGGGGATCTGTGTCTTGGACTCTTTATGTTGGTGTTAATTGAGCACAGGGACTATGCTCTGATCAGTCTTGTATGACAGAGCAGCAGAACAGTATGTTTGCTGAATTTGTATAGATAAAAGGTTTTATTTTGTAGCTCTAATGTTTTCAGTACTCATGTTGTGGCACTTAAAAAATGGTTAATAATGAACAATGTACATGTTTTTATTTGGTACCTTGATATGAATTTGGGAACCAAAATATTATATGTAACTCCTCTGTATTTGTATGTTTCCATGCTCTGGAATAGAATTTGCATTTCTTTTCAAATCATTACTGGATTGAGTTTTTCTTGATGTGATAGCTCTGAACTCCTTGTATATGTGGTTTGATTTTCTTAAGAATGGGTTCTTGAATTTGCAGCCAAGTTCACTTTTGTCCTGGCTTGTGACAGGGAGTAGACAAGAAAGGGGTGGAGACCCACAAGACTCGTTCCCGTATGGTGGGCATGTTCCATAAGAATATTAAAATGCAGACATCTTTTTGCCAGCTTATTTGCTTGAGTTAAATTTTGTGAATGGGTGCAGATCTAAATACTATCTTAAAACATACTGTGGACGCTGCTAATGTTCTTTTTTACCATCTGGTATAAAAGGGAAACTGCAAACAATGGCAACCACGCTTTTGTCCTTTTGCTTTCCCATTCTTTGTCTGCATAACATGGAGATAAAATAATTGCTGGTTCTGGCTTTAGCTTTTCTTGTCAAAATTGTCCTCTCTTTGCCATCTGTTCTGCAGTCTTACTGCTGCACTAAATGTGCACTTTTTGATAACTGTAATCACTTAGAAATTCATAAACATACCATAGTGAAGCCCATTTCTTTAGTTACAGCTCAAAGTAAAAGAAATAGAGTCCTGGAAATAAAAACAGATATTTCATTTGTTGGAATAAAGAATATTTTTAGTGTGGTTTTCTAAAGAATGGAGATTTACAGGACTGAACTGTTTGTCCATCTGCTTTTCAGTTCATCCTTAATAACTTCTGAACAATTTCATCCAGATTTGATGGGGAATAAGAGTCTCAAAGGTAATTGATTTCCTGCAAGAAAACTGGAGACTGGGTGGAGGAGAGAGACAAAAATAGGTGTCCCCACTGTCTGTAGCATAAGCTTAACAATAATCTGTGCTTAGGCTTTTGCTAGCCAAGTTGCAAGTGTGTATGGCTGTCTAGGTACTGCTGTAATCTCAAGAGTTTCCAGAGCATGTTACTGAATCTTGCTTAGGCAGAAGCTGAGGGGCCATGAAAGGGAGACAAGGGCATAGGGAATGTTGCTGGGGAAGTGGACATTTAGGGAAAGGATGAAATCAGTGGAAATCTGGGCTGTTGGAGCTGTCAGTAGTTTCATGATTGATGCACCAACTTGCTTTCAGATTCCATAAAGCGATGCAGTTTGTTGATCTCTGACTTCTCAGACATTGATCTGTCAAGGGTGTATCTGTGGTGTTTGCCTGGCTGTGAGTAAACAAAATATAAGAAAGTATTTATGTTCTGCTCAGAAAATTAGCACTGAAGTGGAGCTGGGCAGTTGCTTTGGCAAATATTTTATTCACTCAAAATAATTTGAGTTTTAAGGTGGGCAAAACAACCTGTGAATTTGGATGGAATTAAGCCAATAGTTTCAGCTGGAAAAAAAAGAATGTTGGAAAATACATCCATGTAATATTATATTTTTCTAAGCTCAAGTCATTAGTTGAATGAGCACGTTTAACAAAATCAGAGTGGAATTTGTAGGGAGGGTGACTCCTATAATGGAGGTGTTTCAGCAGGGAATATAGGAGCCTTCCATTTACAACACTTTCTGCAGAAAGTTGAATTTGTACAGCCAAATTCATTATGTGTTTAATTTGCAAAACCTCTTTCTATCTCTTTGTTTGACAGAAGGTGGGCACTAAACTTTTTTTTTCCATAAATGTGTTTGGTAAAATATTTATGTTCCTGCATCTGGAGACTGTGGGAAGGAACCACTACCTGGAATTAGTAATAGCCTGTGTCTCTGTTTTTCATTTATTTCTTTTGTCCTGGGCAAGTGCTGGAGATCCTGAGTGTACTTGCAGTCATGAGTCAGTGACAACCTCATGCTATTATTGTAAATAGCAACACCAACACTGTTCTTGCATGCCGTTTTTTTCATGGGCTTTGTCTTTCTCCCAACACTCCGGCAAAGGAATTCACAGAGCTTCTGAGTCAGCAATCAGCTGCCTCGAGACAAAACATGCAGGATACTGCAGACTTGCAGAATAGCCAAGAGACATACAAATACCCGGGAAACCTGGCAAATAATTCTTGCCTGCCCTTGCCTTGCCTCCTGTAATTTCCATGATCTCTGACGTGTTGCTCGCGGGTTCCAAGGGCTTTGGGTGTTTACATCAGGAATGCAGAGTTCTAGGGAGTGACTAATTGCAGTGACTGAAGCGTCTGTATTTGACCTGTGGGCATAACTGACTTCACAGCCTGCATGAAATGGAGGTTGGCAGAACTGCTCTATTAGCGTGCTGCTTGGGTGGTGCTGCATAAAATTACCTGCTTTTAAAGGTTTGTCTGCTGGCTTGGCAAACCTTGAACGTATATCAGTAAGTTGCTAGAATGAAAGTAGCTTGGATTTTAATTTTGGGATCTCTCTGAGCAGTGCAGTACCAATGCTGCTTCAATCCTGTGATGAAAGAGTATAGTAGAAGCAAGAGTAAGAAATTAAACCTATGTTGTCCTTACATCTGGATAAACCAGTAATGAACTGAGGACTAGCAGACTTAAGATACCTCTGCACTGTAATTAGGTCATATATCTTGCATTTCTTTCTTAGGAAGTGTCAGTCACCTGAAGCACTAGTGTAAACTTGAGTGGGTGGTAAGAGTGGGGTGCAAGAAGTGAGGGAAGTGTAACAAAAAATAGTATTCAGCTTACAACGTTGAGATTAATGAGGCATAAGGCTTTAGACTGCAGGTGTTCTGTTTTATCTGTGTTACGCAAATGCACTGAAATGATTCCTTCAGAGGAAGAGGCGAGTTGTTGGAGCTTTTCATTACATTCTTCTTGAGAACAGAAGAGGAAACAAAGGCTTAAAGCACCGTGCCTTAGACCTCTGCAGTAGTTTCCCTGAGTTGCAAGCCTGGAGCACATTTCCAGCTTCACAACAGTGGAGATAAAAATAAGGAAAGCCGTTAGTTCCATCCTGCTTAGTGAGCAGTACTGATGTGCATGTGGCATCACTACTAGCCAGTTAGAAATACAGCTTTGTATGTTTTGAGTCCTCTAAGGCGGTCGTCCTGATAAAGACAGAATCACATTTTCCAGTATAACCATTGCTGTACTGTGGCTTTTTATTTTCAATAATGAACAGTTTGTGGCTTTATCAAAGTTTTCCAGGTCTCCTTTGCTGTTTCTAAATATAAGCAATAAATATAATTTTTAGGGTGAAATACAGGGATGCCAAAATAAACTGCTGCAGAACTGTCATATGGGAGGGGAAGAGACATGAGCTGTAATGTTTGACTTGGCTTCCTCTCTGCTGGAAGCAGGAAAAGAGCTGGTGAGAATCTAAAAGGTTTTATCCAAGTCCACATATTTCCTTTCTTACCTTAATTTCCTTTGCAAAAAAACCCTAAAAACATCACAAAAAACAAAACAAAAAAACAGACAACAAACAACCCAAAACCAAAACGAAGGACAAAAAGCACCTCAAATGCTTTCACTTCCATAGTTTCCACATATGTTCACATGCTGTCCTTTTATCTGAAGACAAAGAGAACTATTCTTTCTTAGAGAGCAATCGGTGTGTATGTAGTAACTAGTATGTAAAAAAGAAAGAAACAGCTTTATTTTATATAAAAGAGAGAAAATGCCTGTTCTTTAAACAAAATCTGCTACTTTTGATCCAAACAATTAATTCTGCAGGTCTGCAGGCTTCTGTGGTGGAATCCCAGAAAAGCAACTAAGTAGCAAGACACTCCCTGTGACTGTATCTAATCTGCTGAAGACCCCAACTACCACCTACATTTTAGAGACCTGCGTATCAAAAGAAGCTGAAAACCACAAATTAGTGGAACTACTGTGAGGCTCTCACAAGAATCATGCATCGACCACGTTTCACTCTTAGGCTGCTTACTTACCAACATGAATATAAGCATAGCCTCTAGATAAGGCAAATGCTTATACTGATTAATGCAACACAGACAGCTTTTTTTTTCAGTCTTGACATCTCTTCTTAAGAATTTGATTGCTGTTAGCAGTTTTACCTTCTTTCTAGGGTTGTAGAAGCTATCACTGAGTTTGTTATGTCACTGTAAAAAAGCAGTATTTGCAAGGACTCTGACAGAAATGACCTGCTTGTGCTGTGCCAGCCTCTTTTCTCTATTTATCATGAGCAAAGACATATCCTTTTAGAATGAGGAGCCAGAACTTATTTTACTGGTGGAATACCAGTTCCTAAAGTACTTTGGTAACAGTGTTTTTAAGACAAGCATGTAACCATTACTGGGGTGTTACGACAGTGATCTGGTTATCACAGTGACTGCTACATTAGTAAGTCTATCATTTGTTTTAAAACCTCTGCCAACTTGCAAACATGACATCACATTTGCCTGTTTACTTGTATTTTGCGGTTCCTGTGAAATGAGTTTGATAAAACTTCCTGGGGGACTGGCTTGGGTAAAGTATTTTGTGATTGAACAAGAGATGAGTTCACCACTGAAGTGAGGTTCAGTGAGCTTTGGGAGGCTCTGCTTCAGTCAACTTAGGCAGGACTCCTTGAGATACTGATCAGTGGCTTATTTAGGACCAAAGCTTTATTAGTTACTTAGAATCTGGACTCTCAGTTTAGCAGGCTTAGACAACATTTTGGAGAGGAAAAAAAAGCGCAAACTCAATTACATTTTCTTCTTTTTATTTTATAGGTTAATAATGCTTGTAAGCCAGAGGTGAAAGTGGCTCAGCAGAGCAACATCGGGAAATCTGGCAGACTGGAAGAGAGCAGCTGCCCTTCAGGGCAGCTGTGAAGTGTGAAGCATGGAGGAAAGTAAGAATGAGAAGGTGAACCAGGCTCATGTTCTGTTTGACAGATTTGTCCAGGCTTCAACATGCAAGGGGACTCTCAAGGCTTTCCAGGAGCTCTGTGACTATCTAGAACTAAAACCCAAGGACTATCGTTCTTTCTATCATAAACTCAAGTCCAAGCTAAATTACTGGAAAGCCAAAGCCTTATGGGCCAAATTGGATAAAAGAGGCAGCCATAAGGATTATAAGAAGGGGAAAGCATGCGCCAACACCAAGGTAAGAAATTTATTCATGATGGTAAAGATAACTGTTACCCGGTTTGTCTCTGGAATACAAAATAAAAATGTCTTGATGTAGAAAGATATTTGCTTGGTGTTAGTATAAGTACAGGTAACTGTCGGAATCGTGGAAAAATTCAAATTATTTTTTTTCTGATAAGTTGATTGCATTTTGCATTAACTGGATTCAGGAATTGAGCTTATTTCAAATGAAATGTGTTGAGTAGAACTGAAATAGGATATTGAAGGCTGTGAAATGAGGACAGGTGGCTTATATTTCAATGAGAGAGATTGAGCAAGCTGTGGAAGAATTTAGAGGTATTTTAGCTTCTTTGAAGAAATAGACTAAAAGAGTGATTTCGCATCTGGGCTCTAGATCTTGGCAGGCAGGCCTGTATTTGTTAACATTGAAGAACAGGTTGCATTGATAATAGAGATGCAACATGGAAGAAGAGCTTTAATGGAAGAATGAGTGTATGACTTTGAAAGTGCTTGGTTGTGAGGATACTAGAAAAAATATATATGAGTGGAGGCTGATATCCAGCCAGGAAAGACATTCAGAAGACTGATTGTGGCATTTACTAGAAGGGAAGTGGTGAGATGAGTTTAGAAGGATGTTAGAGCTCCACTTATCATGACTGACAACTAGGCAACCATGAGGAGATGTCAGAGAAGTAGAGATTTTAGTTTAGACAAAAGGTAGTCAACTCTGATTGGAAAAGTTCTGTGAATCTACAGTGCTGAGAAGCTGATTAAAGAGCCAGTGAATGAGACAATGCAAAGGCAAATTGAGGAGGAAGATGGTAGAGATGACTGGCAAAGCTCTGTGGGAATTTGGGGGTGCAGGAGCGGAAGAAACAAGGAAAGTTCTTAAGAGTCTGCTCTGAAAGAATTGCTGAGGACGTAGAGGAGTATGGAGTCTTAAAAGATATCAGGAAAGGACACACTTTGAAAAAACAGATGTAGCCAGTTGTATATAAAACATCTCAAATGCAGTTAAAAAGTGGGTAAAAGGGGTAAAGCATACTAGTGAGTAATGTGTGAGTAAAGAGTTTGTAGAGGTTTGTTCTGTTTTGGTTTGGTGTTTTTGGTGGTGGGGGAAGGGCCACAGGAGTGGCTCTGGTAAGAAGCTGAGAAGCTCCCCGGGCTCCAAAACCAGCCAAGGAGCCATTAGAGGGACAATAGATGGACCTCAGCGATTAACATACGAAAGAATGGCAATAACACCAGAGCAGAGAAGGACTTGGGCAGGAGAGTGGTGCTGGTGGTTGGTGAGGAAGAAGAGGAAGAAGGTGCCCAAGCAGAAGTTTCCCTGCAGCCCATGGCGAGATGGCAGCTGTCCCCCTGCACTCATGGAGGAACGTGGTGGGACATTCCCTGAAGGCACCAGGAAGGTTGAACTTGACTAGTGGACTTGGATTTTATGGCCAGAGGATTTGCTGCCAGTGGACTCTTGATTATGCATCTTTGGAAGATCCCGGGCCAGGGGAGGTGGCTGTTCCCGAAGCCCTCGTGACTCTGTGGGAAGCCCAGGCTGGAGCAGCTCCGGACCCCGTGGGAAGGACTCACGAAGGAGAGGTTTGTGGAGGACTCTCTCCCAAGGGAAAGCAGGGAAGGACTGTAAGGAATCCTTCTTCCTGAGGAGGATGGCGGAGCAAGAACCCCCAGCCTGTGAACTGACTCTAAACCCCATCCCCTGTCCCCCTGTGCTGCTGGGGGGAAGGAGGATGGGAAACCGGAACAAAGTGATTTGGGCCCGGGAAGAAGGGAGAGGTGGGGTAACATATGCAAGCCCTGCTCTTTGTGTTGTGTGTGTTTTATTAATGTGAAATTAAATTATTATTTTTTCCCCAAGTTGAGTCTGTTTTGCCCGGGACTTTAATTGGTGAAGAACCCTCCTTGTCCTTTGTCTCAACCCATGAGCTTTGTCCTCCTCATCCCAGAGTGTGTGTCAGCTGTGGGGCTGTTCCTTTGATGTTGTGTTGGGCCCAAACCACAACAAGTTTTTGTATAGTCCAAAAGCTTAGTCTATTTTGTGCACCAAAGCCAAGCTAGAGAAAGTATAGGGTGGAATTGGAGAAATGGGATCAAAAGAATGATTGTAGAAGTGGCATGTGGTAGTGTTGGAGACAGGACGGTGGTGAGATAAACAGAAACACTCACAGGGTTACGCCTGACTTTTCCCTCTTTTCATGACGAGAGAGAAACCTCACAACTTGCTGGTGTTGGTAGAAGGACCACAGTGGTGGGATTAGGGAATGATTACAGGAGACATGTCAGTGATAGCACTGAACTAGCTTCTCCTAGAGGAAAGGGAGGCTTTATTGCATGGCTTCTGTCCTTTGTGGGTAACAGGGAGAAGAAAGAGAGCAATGGAAAGGAGGAAGTAAAGCAAGCCAGAGAGTAATTTGCTAGTGTTTCTAAGAAGCTGTTGGTGAGATGCTATATAAAAAGACAAGTAAAACAAGTGGATGGTGAATAGATTAAAGGTGGCACTGCCTCTGCCTCAACCCAGGAATGTATAGGACTGTGGATTTGGAATTCACACCATTTTGAGTAGTGAAATTAGTAGCTGAAGAAAACTGAAATCTGGTTAATTTTTTTTGTTACTACATTTTAAAGAATACACATGATAATTTATTTTTGTCTGTCTTTACATATAGAATTAGTTTAAATGTTTAATATAAAGAAATAAAAATATGTATTATTTTTGTTTTTCATATGTTTCTGTTAATTACTTGTTTCCTATCCTAATAATATCTGCCATGAAATATTTCTATTTAATTCTTAAGAGATAATCATAACTATTCAAAGTAGAGGCATTAAGAGAACTATGTTATATCTGATCTGATGTTTCCTATCTCACTTAGTTTTATATCCCTAACATTTAATGTAGTTTGCAAACCACCAATTAAAAAAATACAGAAATTTAAGCATGGATGTGGAGATAACAAAATGAGGCGTTTAGCCATGTTATCAAAACCGAAGTCAGTAATTGCTTTAGAAAGCTCAGCTTCTATACGCTTGAACATACACGCGTTTTGAAATGCTCATTCTCTGTAGTGTTGTTCTTGTCCATTTATAAATTGGTCAGAGTGAAGTGCTGTGACTGGAGTTGGTCAGTAGTTAGTGAATCTCATGGCCAGTGTCCAGGTTAACCAGAATCCAGATAATAAGAGTTTATGAAAGCCAGACTTGGGACGTGATGGGCTGTTCAGATGTAAATAGTTAGAAATGGTCCTCTCTTAATTGGTTGTACAGAGAGTACAGGATTTCAATTTGCGTTTAATGTTCCATTACCACAGTGTCGCTACTAAAAACTTAATATAATCTGTCTGAAGGATCTTGAGAAAGAAGTGTTTCTGAGGGGTGAGACAGCTTTAGTGCATGGAGTTGCAGCAGTTGCTTGGAATCATTGTGGGGAAAGGGAACAAGGGACAGCAATAGCAGCCTTTGTTTACTTGGCTGTACTTGTCATCTTATGTAGTTATCTTGCCTGTGAGAGTGTCAGAAGGGAGGCTTCTATAAGAGATCTGAAACTGGAAAAAGTGTTAGAGGTGGAAAGGGGAGCAGAGTATTTTCTTCTGCTTTGAAATGTGCTTAAAACTCCCTGTGTTTTCTAACAACATAATTTTAATATTTTTGTGATCGTAAAAAAATAAGGGCAGCTTTGGTCAGCAGTTACTTCACTGACTGTCATGTTTTACATCCAGAATCTTAAATGTAGCCTTAACACATCCTTGTTTGGAGATGGGGGGAGGATGTAGAAAAAAAAAAGTTTTTACGTTTCTATGACAAAATTACAGCTAATTTATTGCATAGACCTGAGTTGGAATACTTGTATTTTGGTACAATTCCTTTGTTGTTGTGTGCTTCATAGTAACTATTTTATATGGGAAGGTTACCAAAGGATAAGCCTTCCAAGTCAGTGTAGTTTTGTTGCTTCTTGAATCCAGTCTCTTCGAGAATTGTAGTTTTCAAATGAGCAAAATGATTACCTGAATAACTATATGCTCAGCTAATTTTCTTACAAGTTTAAAAAATGAAAGGCTAAGTTTGAGAATTATACTTACCCTAAAAGAAAATGATATTAAATTGGGAGAATATATTAGATCCTAATTTATTACCACTTCTAACAAATGACAAGTTGAACACTTGTTCAATATACAGGTCTATTTTTAGTAACTCAGTCATTGGGCTTGCCTTTTCTCCCATATGCCTTCGAGTTCCTGAAGGTACTAAAGAAGCAGTGATGTTATTATTCTCTTTCCTTTCCTCTGGACTTGCATCACTGCCCTCAGATTTACGTGACTTCTTACCTGCCAGCTTTCTTTGTGGACCTCAGTTCCTGTGGGTAGCTGTCAACTGTCAACTGTTTCTGTGAAAGTACTTCCAACCCTAGATATATAAGTATTTTATATTCTCAGGTTGTTCATTAGGCTCTGATAATGTTTGTGAGTAGAGTGGAAAAAGGTGAGGGAAGATGAAAGGTTGATATGACAAAGGTTAGGTTGGAAAAACATATTTTCATAAAAGTTGTCTAGTCACACAAAGTTCATATTTACATTGTATTTATGCTTCTGAAGTTTTCCTTTGCTGCACTAGTAGAAGCACCAGCATAGGCCTGAGTTAGTGCTCAGGCTTGAATACTGTCTGCGCTACTGTAAATGATGATGCTTATAAAAACATGAGCTCTTGTATTTGTCTGCCTCAACCATTCCTGTGGTATTCAGTGATGTGCCTGAAACATTGCTCTTCTCCAGGTGCTTACATAGCTTGGAGATTATGCCTTGGCATCTGTTCCTAAAGCAAGGGTTTAAAAGAGGCAGGTGACTCACCCGCTTCTCCAGACTTTGTGCTGCTCTGTGGTATGCTTCATTTTCAGGTTGCAGTAACTGCTTTAAAGTATCAGTGGCTAAGGATGGCAGGTGGCAGTAGGAAGAGTGATCTCAAATTTCAGCTTATGCTGCTTACTTCTGTGAGCCATGGGATGCCTGGAAGCTGTGGTTAAAATATCTTTCTCCTCCTAGGACTGTAAAGTTACTCTGTGCTGATTGTTTTGCAGTGTCTGATAATTGGGGCTGGACCTTGTGGCCTTCGTACAGCCATCGACCTATCATTCCTAGGAGCCAAGGTGGTGGTCATAGAAAAGAGGGATGCCTTTTCCCGCAATAATGTGCTGCATTTGTGGCCGTTCACCATACATGACTTGAGGGGCCTTGGCGCCAAAAAGTTTTACGGCAAATTCTGCGCAGGATCCATAGACCATATCAGTAAGTACAGCTGCTGTGAGACACAGCAGCACTTCTGTTCTTCATAGGGGAGAGCTGGGTGGGGGCATGGGGGTAACTCATTCAAAGTCAGTCAACACCAGTCACTGCTCTCCAGTCCTTACAGTACAATTCAGCATTACCTTTGCATAGTACACTTCTTACTAGACATGAAAGAAATACATTGTGCTGTGAGATGATCATGCATGCAATGTGTATCTGTCCTCTTTTATACCTGGTACTTTTCAAGGCATATCTTTCTCCTAAACTGAAAAGTACATTTAATGTTAAAACATTTTTTAAATTGATATTTTTCATATTTTTGCTGTTAAAATTTATGCAGCTGCCACGTTGTTCCGTTTCTTTAGAGCATTGTAAGTGACTTACAATAAGAAAAATGACTGAATGGTTTTGAACATTCTTGTGAAAGCTGATAAGGAAGAACAATTTTGGTTAATTATTGGAAGAGTGATGAAGATATTTTCAAGAACGCTGGGAGCCTCTGAATAAGTTTTGATTAAATAGAGGTTTACATATTAAAATGTAATTTTAATTTTGATGATTCTCAAATTCTGAGAAGTCAGTCTTCTTTGAAAGCTGAATGATTTGGTGGAGCAGGAGTAGTTTTCTTTTTTCCCCCAAATTTACTCTTCGTGGCACAGTCAGTTTTTGCCCACCAGTCTGTGTTCTCCACTGGATGTAACTGTGAAGTATAATGTGGCACAAACAATATATAAGATTTGGCTTCTTGTCCAAAGCAAAAACAGGTGTGGTGCTGGTGTTGTTTGTTTGTGTATTTTACCAAGGAGTCCTAAAAGTGGAAGATCTTTGGAATATTGGTCTTGCAGATTCCTTTTCCCCTTCATTTTAATGTAATTTTGATTATTCCACTCCTCTATGCATGTTGTCTTCTTTTGTATTTCAGTACAGCTGACATTTAGTGTTTAGGTGGAGCATTTCTTAATTTCAGTATCTGAAATGTAAGAGTAAGGTGTCTTCCTTCAAATTAACAGAGTTTGCACGCTGTTGTCTTCATACCCACTACATGCATTCACTGAAGAGGAAAGAGGTTTTGAGGAACTTATTATGCCCTCACTAACCCAGAAGTGTTAAGATAAAGCTGCAGTTTAGTATTACAGCCAGGCTGATCAATTGAGTAGTTGCCGTCTGTGACAAAAGTGCAGTTCTGTTTGTGCTCTCTTCCTCGCTTGCCTTCAGTGCATGTTCTGGTTGTTACCCTTTTTGCTAATTTGGGGACTGAGATGTGTATACAAAAAAAAAAATTATTTACTTTTATTCTTTGAAAAAGGCTGAGGTTTCAACTGTATAGAAGTTTTGTGGCTCATGATGGTATTACACACCAGTGCTACCTGGGTGAAGTGCTGGGAACACTGGGAAGAACAAAGTAGCAGCTGGCCTTTAAGTCAGTTTATCAGTAATGTCAGAGAGATGTCAGAGAGATGTGTGCACTTACAGTTTTTTATTTTTCCTTTAAAAATTTTTTTTTTTCTTCTTTTTGCAGGTATCCGTCAGCTCCAGCTTATCCTTTTGAAGGTTGCCTTGATCTTGGGAATAGAAATCCATGTCAATGTGGAATTTCAGGGGCTTGTTTACCCTCCAGAGGATCAGGAGAATGAAAGCAAGTAGCATTGAAATGGGTAGTAGGAAGCTGTGGCAGGATACGCAGACTCCTGCTCCTTAACCTTGCTTAGGACTCTTAAGTCCTTTCCTCAAGCTCCATTAATGACAGTAATTATGTTTACACTTTTATTTGAATTTTTAGTAGGATTCATTCTTTCTAATAACAAATTCAAATTAGTTACTATTTAAAGCAAAAATCACCCAAAGTATTACACAGAAATAGACTAGGACACATGGTCTATATGGTAGTTCATAATTACTCCTAAAATGTTTACGCCTATTCCACATAGAAGATACTTTTTCCTTGTATTCACTGAAGGCATTTATGTGAGCAAATTATCCATGTTATGCTTTTTGTATCTTAGTGAAGCCTGTTCTCTGATTGCCATGAGAGTTTTTTGGCATCCTAGTAATAGAATAGATAATAGAGAAGCTCTAAAGGTTGAGGAGATCCTTAAAGGCAATAGTCAGTGTGTTTTTATTTGATGTCTCTGCCTCTGATTCACACAGTGGCTGTGCAAGTCAATCAAAGTCCTGTCAACAATGTAGATGTCCTGCCTCCTATCATTAATGGACCATATGAGGAAGGGATTATGGATAGTAAGAAGTGGTTTTATGTATTTGTTCTGTTATGAGCACTGTTTATATTGTTATTAACTTGGAGTTTATCAACAGGAATAGGTTGGCGTGCATTGGTCCACCCAAAAACCCATCCAGTATCTGAGTATGAGTTTGAAGTAATCATTGGAGGGGATGGCAGGAGGAACACCTTAGAAGGTAATGACGTGTCCATAATTTGCTTTCAAATAGAGCTTAAGTTAGTTAGAACAAAAATGGTCTTCAACATCCCGATCAAAATGTAGAAAGACATTTGACTAGTGAAAGTGGAGATTAGAAGTCCATGTAAAAATCAATTTGTATCAAAGATGTGGTTATCTTTTTCTTCTTTCTATCCACTAGCAATGGAATGAGGTATTTTGACCTGGATAATTTTTCCTACATTTTATTTCTGCAGTTGAGTAGTGTTGTAGCTCTTACTTTTGGGAGTAGTAATTGAAGTGCTGAATATTATTCGGTGTAGTTGAGAGTGTTAATATTTTTTATGCAAGTTTCAATTTGTGGAAACGAGTTAAGAAGGATAGGGGAGCTTTTTCCCTAAACAAGAGCTATTGTTTTTCTGATTAAGCGATTGTTGCTGTCTCTGCAAAGGAGTTTTTAATTTGTCAGATCCATTCTCTCTCTTTAGTGGAGGCAGCTGTCTGTGGCATGCTGAGCCTTCTCTGAAGGTGTGCTCTATTTTTCAGTGTGACTTCTTTACCCTTCCCGTAGGGTTTCGCAGGAAGGAGTTCCGTGGTAAACTAGCAATTGCTATCACAGCAAACTTCATCAATCGCAACACCACAGCGGAAGCCAAAGTAGAAGAGATCAGCGGTGTGGCCTTCATATTCAACCAGAAGTTCTTCCAGGATCTACGGGAAGCCACAGGTTTGCCAGCAGTTGACAGATTTCCAGTGAAAACTATTTGTCTTTATTATTACAACTTTGTAACTCAAACATCATGTTTAATCAAAAAAATGAACATCTTGTGCAAGGAAGTCAGTCATTGCTATCTCTCTTTGAAATGTTACTCCCCAATTTTTACAGCTGTTCTGTACATCTCCATAAAACAGATGTGTATCATTGAGATGTGTGTCATTTTTGTTCAGAAGCAGAGAACTTATTTCCCTGGAGGTTTTCAGGAAATCTAAGCCCTGAATAGGAAAAGTCTGAATCCTGAATTCAGTTTCCTGAACTCCACAGTTTAATGCAAACCTTAGAGTTAAGATAAATGTATTTTTAAAGGGGTAGCTATATGCAAGTGAAATGTGCTGTTTGTGGTTTTATTGAAGATTCATATTTGAAAGTCAGCAAAAGCATGGAAGAAAGCTGGTTGACATTCTCTCTTTAAGGCTTTCTAACCACATTCAATTTACTTTCTTCCTGGAGAGCTCTTGTGTTACACATAACATGTAACTTGTTCCTTCCACTTCTTTTGTTCTACCACAAGGTATTGACTTGGAGAACATTGTCTACTACAAAGATGATACACACTACTTTGTCATGACTGCCAAAAAACAGAGCTTGTTGGAAAAAGGAGTGATACGGCATGTGGGTATTAACTTTTCCTATACTCTCTTTAAAGTAAAACTTTCATACAATTTACTTTCAATATGATGAAAGAAGGGAAACACTCTCTTCTTTCACTACATGTTTTTATACAGGTGTGGTTTAAACCACTAATAATACATAGTTAATGCTCTTCTGAAGTATTTTCGGCCATCAGAAGAGTGTTACAAGATACATATATTCTCAAAATTTGTATTCCTTTGAAGATTTAGGCGTTTCTTTCATGTTAAGATAAAATATGCTTAAACAACCTCTGATGGCTTACTTGAACTTCCTTGTATTATGGGAATGAAACAGCAGAAAGCGAAGGAAGTATTGGAAATACTTCTAAGTCTTACAGAAGCTGATTTGAAAGTAGTTTGGCCACAAATGAAAAAATAAAGATTGGAGGCTTGTGCCTTTTGTCTGAAGTGTGTGATGAGAAGTGATCAGTAGTTTCTCTAACTCCTTTATAGTCAGAAATGCTAGTAGGACTGATTACCCATGTGCAGTAAAAAAGAATGACACATTTGCTCTTGGAAGCATAAACATAGATAGGAATTAAAGGAATTATAAGGCAAATGTTTGCCGGTGGATTTGTAGGAGATGTGATGCCAACTGCTTTATATGCCAATCTTAAAATATGCTTGTTGGAGTTGGCTATTTCGTTTTTAATTTTCTCTTTTTTTCAGGATTATGCTGACACAGAATTATTGCTCTCCCGGGAGAATGTGGACCAGGAGGCTTTGCTTAACTATGCCAGAGAAGCAGCTGATTTCTCCACTAATCAGCAGCTGCCATCGCTGGACTTTGCCATCAACCATTATGGTCAGCCAGATGTGGCCATGTTTGACTTTACATGCATGTATGCATCAGAGAACGCAGCCCTGGTGCGAGAGCAGAATGGCCACCAGTTACTTGTGGCCCTGGTTGGGGACAGTCTCTTAGAGGTTTGTGTTTTAAACTTACTATGTGTAAGCAGTGAATTGAAGCATAAGCAGAAGCCATTGCATCCATCACTGCCATATGTGCTTGCTCTAAGATCATTACTATAAGGAAAGCTGCTGTTTCTTAAATAATAAAGTGGGAGGTTTGAAGGAAGGGTAGGAGTGTTGGTAAAGCTAAATATTTAGTATACTTATAATTTTGATTAAGAAAATGTATGCAGATTTTTTTTCTGAAGTTACGTCTGTTTCATCTGTTTCTTATTGGGACAGTTATACTCCCTGTAGAACCTACTGTAGGCCTGATAATAATTAGCATTTTGTAGTTGGTTAAAAAGTATGATCTTGAAGAGAAGCTGTTGAGGCACTCCAGGCTATGAATAGTTGGAAACAGAGGAACATCGGCTTTGGGAGGAGCTTATGGGCAATTCACCATACATCTGGCTTCTCCCATCCCAGTAGGAGTGAAGCTTCAAGCTAATTACTGAGCTACAATTTCCTAGCAGATTACCATCTGAATATATTCTTGATATTTGTTTGGAGTTTTCCCTAACATGCATTTCCTTTCTCTGCTTTTCTTGTAAACTATAATAATAGCCATTTTGGCCAATGGGAACTGGAATAGCCAGAGGATTTTTGGCTGCAATGGATTCTGCTTGGATGGTACGAAGTTGGTCACTTGGAGCTAGCCCTTTGGAAGTTCTTGCAGAGAGGTAACAGAGAAAATGAAAGCACTTCCTGTTCTAATGTAATCTTCAACATCTTATAATTCATTCTAGTTTCTTGTAGTACAATTACATAGACAGAATAGGAGATTAAAATTCTCCCTGTTCTTAGAGAATGCTTCTGGGTATAATTGAAAAAAATAATAAATTCCCAAGAAGCTGATGAATTGTTATGCGTTTATAGAGGAATAAGAAATGTTTCTGCTGTTCTTGGTCCTGGTTTTAAAAGCAGATTAGACAGTCTTTTTTTTGGTGCTTACTAAAATTGCATGAAGAAAGTAAGCCTGCCTTACTGTCACCAGCCTTTCAAAAGCAAAGTGGACACATATGTACATGCCTTTAAAGTACCAGAGACAAAAAATTCTTGTCACCCGCTGTTGCCTTGTAAATATAATCTATTATTTTCTTTTAAGGAAGCCAAGACCTGTTTTTATTTTATGTTCTCCTAAATTGATTACTTTGTTTCACGTAGGCCAAACAACATCTTATTTTGCTTTTGAGTATGGAGTTCTTGATGTATTTATCATCTTTGGTTGAGTGTTGTTTTGGTGAGTCAAGATTATGTTTTAGAGATCAGAAATGTGGTTATTAGAAGATGGAGTAACTAAAAGCAAGGTTTAATCAAACCAGTTTTAGACTTCAGCAACTGCAGCTTCTGACCATCAGGAACCATGGTACCATTTTAAAAATGGTAAAAATGGCACAATGGATATTGAAGTTATATTTGTTTAAATTTTACAAAATGGTGAAGATAATAATGCTGCAGTTGGAGCCAGACTTGGATCCTTTGACACCTTTCCATTAGGTGTTTACAGACAGCAGTAAGATCTTTCTGTGTAACCCTTTTTTATGCTTAATGTATTATTGTCTTCCCTCCTTTTGATTTATGGAGTTGTATTCAGTTGCAGATTTTAATACACTTACACTGCAGCTTAGCTATTCAGTGTTTGAAGTGGTTAGATTTCTAATCTGAATGTTTATCTCTCCAGGATTGACTCAACAGTGTTAGTAGTGATGCATCTCTTTAAAAAAAAAACCAAACCAAAACGAAACAACCAAACCCACAAAACCTGAAACAAACAAACAAAACCAAAACCCAAAACAATTTAAAAATTTTATTTTCCCAAGGGAAAGCATTTATAGGCTGCTGCCTCAGACCACCCCTGAGAACGTGAGTAAAAACTTCAGCCATTACAGCATCGATCCTGCCACCCGGTATCCCAATATCAACGTCAACTTCTTGCGGCCACAGCAGGTAACTGTACAGATGGTGCTTCTGAATGTTTGCAGTCTGCATTGTCTTTCCTTAGCTGAAGCTGTGCTGATGTTTTGGGAGCAATTAATGACCTGATGCGACAGTATAGCGTGGAAGCAGTGAAAAGCAGATAAATCTGTCAAGAGTAGATCTCTGTACTTTTAATGAATTCCTGCTTACGAGTTTTTTATTTTGACAGTTTTAAACTTGCTGTAATGATCTGTGAAATCTATATATGTGTGCACACACATGCATTTTCCTTTTTAATAATGTAGTATAGCAGTCTGTCGCTACAATTTGGTATCCACTGAGCAGCAGCAGTCAGCTGGGCCGTTCAGCACCGACTGCCACTTCTTTGTTGTTCTGGGGTTCTTGAACTAGAGATTTCTGCTGCATAAGTGTACTGCCTTTTTGTGCCCTGGGATGGCTCCTTCTTGTCCTGCTCTTTCTTTATAGATCTTGGGTGCATGGCATGTTGGTAATTTTTGTGTATTATTTCAGGTACGACACTTGTATAATACAGGAGACTTGAAAGACATTCACCTGGAAATAGAGAACTTTGTGAACTCCAGAACACCTAAGCTGACTCGGAATGGTAGGGCTGGCTATTGCTCCATTCCTTCCTGTATTCTGAAGCTGGATCAGTGCAGCAGCAAGGCTCTAAAGTATCACTTAGCCAGTCTCTTTTGGTTTAGAAAAAATATCCAGCAATTGTTTCATCAGTGGTCTGATTTTCCAGCTTTTCAAGTTTCAATTAACATGTGAATATATTTTTGTTTGACTAATTTCCTTGCTTTAAAACGGTGTTTCTAAGCAAGCATTTTTTTCACCTCCTTCATCTTATAACAATGTCTTTCTTTAGACTGCAGAATCCTAGCCTGAATTCCCTCTAACAATAAGCAAGCTCAGAATTGCTACAAACATAACAGAAAGTATTTCTTATGCAGTTTTTCATGTTCATTCTTTCTTTTACTTAATGTCATCTCTTAGTTTAACTAAATGAAGCCTCACTTTGTTTGCATTATTCTGAAAGTTATATGCCTTGTGATAAGCATTTCAGTATCTGTCTTGTACTTGTACCCTGTGCCCTGAGGGATATGTTGAACTTCTTTTGCACACCTTGCCTTTGGATATCCAGATAGTGTCTGAGGACTCAGAGTGGTACTTTGCTGAATAGCTATGAAGCCTTTTATTTGTTCTCTGGCCTGCAACCATGTCCCTTTAGGCTGTAATCTTGTCAGATCTTGCAGTAAGGCAGAAAGGTCAAAGCAGGTCAGTGCTTTAAAAGGGAAGCTTTCAAGAGAAAAGAAAAAGTTGCAGAAGTACATTTGTAGTTCTTCCATTAGAAATAGTATATCTGGGCTTTAGAGAGCATTTGTGCTAATGTATATCTTTTTGATCATGTTTAAAACAAGCCTTTCTGATTGTTTTATAGTTCCTGGGGCTCTTTTACAGGGGCTAGGGTGAAAAGCCTGGCAAGTTATAATCTAGATGATTACTTTTAGGGGAATTAAAAGTTTTTTATTGGATCTGAAATTGCTAAGACAGTATTTTCTTTAAAGAAATAAATGAAAGGAATTCTGTATGTATTGCTCATTGTAGATGGAGCTTGTTGTCTACATGAAGGTTTTATTTTCTAGATTCATGAGTTTATTTTTAAATTTCTACTTAAAAATGTGATTTCTTACAGAGTCTGTAGCTCGCTCTAGTAAATTGCTCAGTTGGTGCCAGAGGCAGACAGACGGATATGCTGGTGTAAATGTGACAGATCTCACCATGTCATGGAAAAGTGGCCTAGCTTTGTGTGCCATTATCCACAGATACCGTCCTGACTTAATGTGAGTAACTGGCTGTTTTGAATAACTGAGCAGCGCAGAATGTTAGTGATATTTGGACTTAATAGTGTGGAGACTGAGGTAATGAATTTGTGACTTATGGAGAAATGCTTTGAAATCAATTCAGTTAAAGCTGATAGAAGCTAATGTATGGTGATTCACCAGCAGAGTGGAAGGTCATAGTAGCTTGATGAATATGAAGATAAATGTGTTGTCATTTTCCCTTCTGGGTAATTTGACAGAATTAAGCTTCTCATTGGTACTGACTGGAAAGTATTATTGACCAACAGCTCTCTTCTCCATGAAGTTATTCAGGAATAGTTCATAGCCTCAGTTAAGTTTCTCACTCTACACAGCCTTTTATAAATCTTCTGCTGAACAGTAACTCTTTTGAAGACTTTTAGGCTGCTTTTTTTAGATATAGTGACCCACAGTCTAAATCATACAATCATAGAATGCCAGGTTGAAAGGGACCTCAAGGATTGCCTGGTTCAACCTTTCTGGGTAATAATATCATAGAATCATAGAATCTTAGGGGCTGGAAGGGACCTCGAGAGATCATCTAGTCCAACCCCCCTGCCAGAGCAGGGTCACCTAGAGTACATCACACAGGAACTCATCCAGGTGGGTTTTGAATGTCTCCAGTGAGGGAGACTCCACAACCTCCCTGGGCAGTCTGTTCCAGTGCTCTGTCACTCTTACAGTAAAAAAATTTTTTCGGATATTGACCTTGAACCTCCTATGCTCCAATTTACACCCATTACCCCTTGTCCTATCACTGGTCATCACCGAGAAAAGCCTAACTCCGTCCCCCTGACACTCACCCCTTACATATTTGTAAACATTGATGAGGTCACCCCTCAGTCTCCTTTTCTCCAAGCTAAAGAGACCCAGCTCCCTCAGCCTTTCCTCATAAGGGAGATGTTCCACTCCCTTAATCATCTTTGTAGCTCTGCGCTGGACTCTTTCGAGCAGTTCCCTGTCCTTTTTGAACTGAGGGGCCCAGAACTGGACACAATACTCCAGATGTAATATAGTTTAAATGAGATGGTCCAGCACCTTGCAAGCTGAGTCGTAAAGCTGTCTGATGTGGGGGAATCCAGCACTTCCCCTGGGAGACTATTCCAGTGTCTTAACTGTTCTCATGCTGAAAAATTTTCTTCTGAAGTCCAATCAGAACCTCCCCAGGAGGAGCCTGCACCCATTACCCAATGTCTTTTCCACATGACTCCTTGTGAAAGCGAGTCTCCATCTTCTTGGTAGTCACCCTTTATGTACTGTACATAAAAAAGAGACATTGCTACTGTTTGTGCAGTAGCCTGCTAACTGGATGACTGAGGGACAAGTATATTGCGTAAAACAGTGCCCAGATTCTAGAATGGGAAAGCACTGGCTGAAAGAAGTAACAGGAGCCGAGACTCTGGTACTTTAATTGAAATCTGAAATGTCTTCAACTTCCTAAAGGGGCATTAGAAAATATAAACCACTAGAGCTGTATTTAAAGACATAATCCAGTGTAAAGCATGCTGAAAAATTACTTGGTTATTCTCTTCCACTGAATTACTTCTCTGTTGGTGTGCTCTATTTAACCTGGACTATTCTGTTTAATAGCTTTATAGCTTGTGGAGAGTTCAGGTAGCTTTAAAAATTTTTATATAACTCTCTACAACCTGTAGCTCTTAATATAGTTTTTATGTAGTTCTACAAGCTTTGGAAAAAAACAGCAGAACTTAAATATGGATTAGTCAAGAAAAAAGGGGACAAAAGTGAAGACTTAATTTAGTTCCTAATACACAAGAGATTTTACATAGGGGAAACCAGTACTGTCTTCCAGCAGGTGAGGAAATGAACATGTATTTCAGAGGATAATAAAGACTTTAAGAAAAATCTGAGTTTGGAGAAGGAGCAGAAGATGAAAAAAAGAATACATTTGAGCGAAAGTTCACCATAATTAAGTAGCATCAACTCTGCAATACAGAAAGGTTGCTGGCAAATAAATTTGGGAGATTATGAAGAAAAACCTAAACAAGAGTTTGATTCCTGAGCTCTTCCTTAAGTCTAGTTTCTACTTGATTCAGTGCATGCTGTCTTTCTGCTCTTTGCAGAGACTTTGATTCTTTGGATGAGCACAATGTGGAGAAGAATAACCAGCTGGCCTTTGACATTGCTGAAAAAGAGTTTGGAATATCTCCCATTATGACTGGAAAGGAAATGGCATCTGTTGGAGAGCCAGATAAACTGTCAATGGTGATGTACCTCACACAGTTCTATGAGATGTTCAGAGACACCATCCCCTCTAGCGGTAAGGAGTTTGAGCAGGTCTCTCAGATTTAAAGACAGCTTTGGGATGAACATGTGTGCTTCAGTTGCCTTTATCCTTTTTCTGCATAATTTCATACTCATACTGAGTGACATAAGTCACCTTTACAAAAATTTACTTCTTACTGCTGCTGCTGAAGAACATGTTAGCAGCATCATGAGCAAAAAAGTACTACTATATAACTTTTCTGCTTTCTTGCTATTACTAGAGGCTCATCTGTCTTGGCTAATAAGAGATGCCTTGCTAGTAGTTGTTTAGTAGGCAATTTCAAAACATTGGCCAAGTTTTATGTCTTTACCATCCATGGAGGTGGGACTAGCTTCAGGCCAATGAGGAATGAAAGGTCTTTGGTTAGAACTGAAATATACTTGTCTAACACAAATCAATGTGGCCTACTTTTAACTAGAAACAATGTTGTTATTGCTGTTTCTTTGTTACTGATGAGCTTAAGTCTATAATTCTAGTGAGGAAAAATAAACAACATGTTTAGTAGCTTTTAAAAAATTTAGTGTGCATCAAGTATTATTACCAAAACTCTGAACTCTTCTTAAGAAAACTGATGCTCTTTAAACATGAAAGTAAATAGAATAAACAAACACTGTTTGTTCTGGGTGGTTATAAACCCTGAAAGGAGAATCAATTTTGACAAAATGAAAATGCAGAGTAGCTGAGAAAGGTATTAATTCTGGACATGACAATAATTCTGTACAGAGTTGAAGAAAGGGTGCTATGTTAAAAAAAATCAGTGAGTCCTTCAGTTATGTATTTAATAATAGCATCACAGAAATAATTTCTTGGCATTTCCTTGCCCGACCTTTTTTTACTAACAGATAGTCTGGACTTGAATGCAGAAGAAAAAGCTGCCCTAATTGCCAGTACCAAATCGCCCATCTCTTTTCTCAGTAAACTGGGACAAAGCATCTCTCGGAAACGCATGCCAAAGGTAACCACATCACAGTCTTGGCTGCTGGCCAAGTAGGTGACATTAAAAGTATATGTGTAAGTGTGTATCTGTGATGTGTCTACAAAGACCATGTGCTCATCAGCTCTTGGCGTGGGAAAATATATCACATTTATAACTGCAGAATTACATCTGTAATATGTACTCTCAATTTGTGGTATATTTTGGTCTTAAAATCTTGGCTTTGTGGTAGTATTTGGGGATATGTTTTGTATTGGAACATAATGGGTTACTCAGTTCCCAAGTAGTTGAAAATACTGAAGAATGTCTAATTTGAAGGTAAGAATCTCCTTTAAACAAATGGAGAATGAGCCCAGAGAATTCAACAGCTATGTTGGAAAGCTTCTGTAAGCACACTGATGACATTTTTCTCAGTCCAGAGAGGAATTAGAATCCTTATCTTTGGGTGTTTTTCCCTCCTTCTTCCATTTTCAGGACAAAAAAGAAAAGGAACTGGACGGTGCAGGAAAGAGGAGAAAAACCAGCCAGTCTGAGGATGTAAGTATTACAGTGAGGAAGATGTCAGAGAGGAAAACATTGTAAATTCCTTGTTCCCGCTTCAGTCCTTTAATTTTCTATGTACAGAGTTTATGTATTTTTTTTTTTAGATAAAATTAATTATTCTTCAGAGTTTATGCTTTAACGTGGCTACAGGGAAGATATTTTACTGATGCTTATGAAAGGACGATACACAAAAAATGAAATGTTGCAGTTCCCTTATATTCTACTTCTATCGGAATTTACTTTGATTTCACGAGGACACCAAAAAAACCCTTTCATTTAGTAAATTCGTGTAGTTTAGTCAGAATTTTCATATTTAAATGTCAGCTTTGGTTAGCACAAAAAGCATACATTTTTATATGTGAAACACAAGGTAGTCAGTCCCTCACTTGAAATGCTTATAGGCAAATAGCTACAAGTAAGTTAAAATTTAGTGCTTGGAATTGTTAGTGAAGGTTTGAAGATAGGCCTTTGGAGTAATGAGAATATTTCAATGGTGGTGTCTTTAGTAAGGAAGTGTGTCAGATAAGGTTGCAAAGATAAGTAAAGTTTAACAGAACCTTTAATGACATGCCAAAGGAAAACAAAATGTGAGGTTTCAAATACAGACTTACAGTTGTTTTTTTCTTGAGTGTTAGAAACCTAGCACAGCAAAGGGATAGAGAGGAAAAGGTGATCCAGTTGCATCTTGTTAAATTTTGATGTTGCTGGCTGTTAGGAGGACATCCCACGGAGCTACAGAGAAGAAAGGCCCACGCTGGTGAGCGCTCTGACGGAGAGGAGGATTGATGCTGCCATTGGGAATCAGAACAAAGTCAAGTCTATGGCAACCCAGCTACTGGCTAAGTTTGAGGAGAATGCACCAGTGCAGTCGTCAAGCTTACGGAGACAGGTAGGAGATGGATAATAAAACCCTTTATTTTGGAATTATAGGGGAAGACCATGAATTATAACATGCATTCCTGGAGATGGGATGCTCTTCCACTTCGAATGCTGTCCTAGAGCAGAGTAAAGCTTACCCAAGAGAGGAAAAAATTTAAAGTTCAGGAGTATGGGATAGAGGAGAACTTCCTAATACAAATTTTATTTCCCCTCTATTGCCCATATTATGCTAGATAATGTATTTCAAAAACATATTTCCAGCAATTTGATTTCTTTTATAAAGACTATTGCTGTTGAAAAGCTTTCCAGGAGCATCCCATTTCTAAGTCTAAAAAGTATCATTTAATTTTGAACTTTCCCTTGCCAGTTTATAATGTGTCTGTTCTTGTGAACTGTGATTAAGTTGAGTGTGTAAGTGCAGCAGATAAATGCCTGGGAGTTTCTTTGCACTCTGGGATATTTGTATCATTCTAAGCAAGGCTGCCTGATGACTGCTGGTTATTCAGGATGGTGTCTGAACTACTGTAACTGCAGGGTAGTTGTCGTTGACATTGGATTGAATCACTTGAAGCTCCTGCCAGCAGTGCAGTGTCAGCAGTGTGAGGCTCAGTACGGCTTAAGTGCCTGAGTTCTTGCTCTGCTGCGTAGTCTGTTTTCATAGCTTGTGCCAAGCTCTGTGCTGCCATGGCCAGATTGTGAGTGGGACCTGACCTATAGCTGCTTTGAAGTTGGGTCGAGTATGTCTATGCTACATTGCACACCAGTGTTAGTAGTATAACATCATCTCAGAATGATGACTTTTATCCCACTCTTTGCCAATCAAATATTTCCTCAGCCACTATGTATTGGTTGTAATAGCCATGGTTATTTGAAGGAACAATGAAAACTAAGGGAAGATCCAAAAACATAGGTAGTTTCTCATTTTTTGAATTTTTTTTTTTCCTTTTTATATTTTACTTGCTAAATGAATTCTCCCCTACCCTATTTTTTTTTTCCTTAAATGTTTGTCTGTCATTTTCTGTATCCCATTTGTCTGGCTTTCTTTGAGTTTCCTTTGCTGTTCTGTCTTTGCTCCTTGGTCCCAACCCACTTTCCCTA